ATATAGATAAAGAGAGAGAGAATGGAAAATGGAAATGTATTTTAGTAAATGGATGAATTTTTTTTGAAATAACGTTTAAAAAAACTTTAAATATATATATTTATTAATATATATTTTATATATATTATATATATATATATATACATATATATATATATATATATATATATATATATATATATATATATATATATATATATATATAATATATTCAAAAAAACAAATTTTTTTTTATTCAGATGCACATCGATACTAAAAATTCATTATATATATATATATATATATATATATATATATATATAACAAAGAAGGGTATATACACATAAGTGAAGATATTCATACATATAGAAGTTTTTTCTACTGACTTAGATATTGATTGATAGTTATGAATAGAACTGACATTATACACACATATATATGCATTTATTTAATATGTATATATATATATATATATATATATATATATATATATATATATATGTTATTTAAAACTTTTATAGAATAATATTTGGTAGATAGATAGACAGATATCTAAATTATATTCAACTTACAAAATACTTGGCTATATTTATATTCACCTTACAAAAAAGAGTTTAGACGTGCGAAAATCTGGTGTCACATTTCATAACGCAGCAAGTGCGAATCGCGGAGTGGGCGTTTTTGGTAGTTTTCAATCTTAACGATAAGACACGATTCATAGTTTTTTGTTTATCCTATTTTACCTCTAGATTCTAGAGTCGTTTTACCTGCTGATCAGTTTATGTGGCGGTTTTTTGTTCATCGGCCCTCATAAACACACTCATTCCCGAAGGTGTGAGGCGGGAAAAGAAGAAAATCCATTGAAGAACGACGGATAAAGAAGCAAATAAAAAGTGACAGACTGAGCGATGCATACACACACATACACATACACACACGCACGCATATTTTATTTTTTTATAATTATATATTAGCCAATTAATGAAAGAGGAAAACAGAAAAGTATAAAAGAAAAAAAAGGGAGGGTAAACTCAGATGGATCTGATTGTCTATTGATCAGTCGAAATTTGGCATACATTTAACTGTGCTATTCTATGTTATGGTCTCATCAATTATATCTCTCTATCTATTTATTGATCTCTCTCTATCGATCTCTATCTAGCTCGCTCACTCGATCTCTCGATCTATCTATCTATTTATCTATCTGAGATGTGTGTGTTGAAACTGAGAAATATATAACAAACATTGATAGATTTGGATAACATCTGTGTGTGTGTGTGTATGCATGTGCAGAGAAAGAAAGCAAACAGGTAGATCCATCGAATAAACATACATGATATATATATATATATATATATAAAATATATATATATATATATATATATATATTAATAATAAGGGACAGATGCAACAGACTGAGAGATAATGATTCTAAGAAAAATTTTTTCTCGAATACTATGCGATATCAAAAATATTAAATCCCCTAAATTAATTAATATATATATATATATATATATATATACACACACATATATATATATATATATATATATATATATATATATATAAACATATATATATATATATATATATACACACACACATATGTATATATATAAATATATATATATGTGCACACACATGTATATACATATGCACACACATGTATATATATATATATATATGAACACACACACACACACACACACATATATATATATATATATATATATATATATATATATATATATATAAGGAAGAAAGACCTTTTTTAACAATCCCAATCCTCTGAAATCCTCTATCACATGTCATGGCGTCCATCCCCAGACATATATATATATATATTTTAAAACATTTTTATGTTTATACATTCTTTTTATAGATACAAATATTTCAGTAAATGCTCTGTTTTATAATAAACAGTATTAATAACATTAACCGGCCTGAATGTCCGAGAAATTTTCACAGAAAATATTCGTCCTCCGACAGGAATCGAACCTGTATCCTATACAGAACCATCGTTTAGTCTGACGTGCCTTTAACCGATTCGGCCACAGAGGAGCGTTGCAAGGCCGAATTTACTGTCTTTGCATTATAATCTTCCATAATTCTCTCACGTACATTCATATCTGCTCATGGTGTATCCAAATGTAAACAAATGACGTCACATTATTATTATAAACCGAGCATTTACTTAAATATTTGTATCTATAAAAAGAATGTATAGACACAAAAATGGCTTGAAATAATTGTCGGACTTTGTCCATTTCAATATATATATATATATATATATAGTAAATTAATTGATTTAAAATATGGCTTTTTTCGCTACACAGTTCTAACCATGTTTCTAAAATGGAAGCTAAAATCCCCGAATTTAATTTAATTTAATTTAATGAAATTTAATGAAAAATTCACTTGAGGATGAAATGGAACTAATGTCTTTAATTTAATTACAAAATTAAATTCGGGGCTTTTAGCCTCCATTTTTGAAACATGGTTAGAACTGTGTAGCGATAAAACCATATTTTGAATCAATTAATTTATAATATTAATGCTCTGTAAATTTACAATGAGCACTATTTTGTAAAAATAAAAATATCTATAAGAACACCGGATTATATATCTTACTGTTCTTTCTTTATATATATATATATATTCAGATGTGCTTAACTAATTGATATGTAGCCAACAGGTGTAATTGTAACAGATATTGGCTAGGTATGCAGGTAGACTAATGATTGTAGCTCAGGACAAAAACCTCGCAACCAGATTCTATTACTGCTACATAATCAAGGACTCAACTAACCCAAAATGTAAGATCTGCAGAAAATGTGTTGAAACTGTCGACCATATGAATATCCCCACAGACACAACAAGGTAGTGAGATATGTGCACTAGAAGATAATCATGAAACACAAATTCAAAACCACTGAATTGTATGCTTATTGACATAGCAGTACCATCTGAGAGAAGCACCTCCATGAAAATTACCGAGAAATTGTCCAAATACAAGGACCTGGAGATCGAGATTAACAGGATGTGAGGAATGAAGACTGAGGTTGTACCAATAGTAATCAGAGCACTGGGCGTGAAAAAAGGAATGGACAGTTATACTAACAGTGTCCCAGGTAACATCAACATACAAGTTGTCCAGAAGATCGCCCTACTAGGAACATCCTGTATTGTAAGAAAAGTGCTATCAATTAAATGACAATTCTCCTGTAGGGCCTAAGGACAATAGTTTGGACCCGGTTCTACAGGATACAAAGCAGGAAACATGATGTACACAAATAATAATAATAACTAGACTAGATCCTAGGGAGGGCTTTTAGGCCATCGGCCTTTTACTTTCAACGTCCAATGTACGTAAAAGTTATAAGAATTTAGAAATAATAAAATTTTATCTTTATTCGACACCTTAATTTGGCATAATCTTTCTTCGTATACGCAACCAATCTTCGTTTTACTTTGCGCGCAATTTTTATTTTCTTTTAAACTCAGCATTCTTTATGATCCCTTCACATAAAGTCACATTTAAAAGACATTAGGGAACGCAAGCTATGTAATATTTCGAATACGTCATAGTGCGCGTGCTAGAAAAAGAAAAAAAAATATATATATGAGCAAGGTACCGAGCTTGGCTTAAGTATTTAATTACGGTTTAATTAGACAATATCAATTGCAATTGCGACGAAAAGAGAAATTAAAGTTAAACCTTTAATAAAGAATTGTTTTTTTTTTAAACCTTTCCCTCTCTTCGTTATTTAAATATAACTTTAAATGAGTATTTATTTAATTTTTAAACTCGTACAGTAGTTACTATCTGTTACTTCATATCTGAAGTAACAGATAGTAACTACTCGCCGAGATCGAAGAAGGGGCGGACAGACGGACACACGTACACTGCGTTTTACTTTTATTGATAATAATAATAATAATAATAATAATAATAATAATTTTATGCTAAAATGGCGTAAATACATTTTCTGTGAAATAAAAGAAAAATTTGTAAAAAGGGAAAAATTCTGAATGAAAATGTATAATTTGATTCTTTAGGATGTGGCCAATCATGGCTCTCCACAATTTCCTATCCTTTGTATCTCTTAATAAATTTTGTTTTTTGGTTAGTACTCCGAATCACTGTCATACTCAAGCTCATCAGATATAATATGTGCGGCTTTCCTCTGTCCCTCTTACCCGCAATCTGTCCTGTGAGTATCAAATTTGCCAAGCCTTCCTTCCTCATTATGTGCCCAGAATTTTCAACTATCCTTTCCTGATGTTATGTTTCTTTTTCTTTCCATTTTCTCTGAAATCTCGTAGTTGCTCAAATGTTCAGCCCATGGCATCCTCAGCATCCTTCTGTAGAATCACATTTCTGTTGTCCCAAAACTCTTCCCCATCATTGAGGCGATCGTCCAGCATTCAATGCCAGATAAAAGGACAGATATCACGTATGTATATCATTATTTAGAATCCGACCGTCTATATGCAGTTACTGCTGTAGAAAAACAAAAAAAAAAAACGTGCCAACTGAAAAGAGACAAGTGCAGTTATATTACCTGAAATGATACTTAATCCCGCTATCAGTTTTGATTAGGGGGAAAATTGAACAGACCATTTGATTAAAAAGCGTCTCAGCCATTCAAAATGATTGAACCAAGATTAAAATTCGGATGCGATAATAATAATAATAATAATAATAATAACTTAATAATAACATTAATACTGTTTTTCAGTTCCGACAAGATATTATAGTTTGCTATAAAAGTTGGAAACAAACTTAGAAAAAGAAAACAAAAACGGAAGGAAGAACGATAAATATAGTTAGAAATGGGTTACTTGTTTTATATATATATATATATATATATATATATATATATATATATATATATATATATATATATATAAATAAAGAGAGAAAGAGAGAGATTAAAAGATTTAGAAAGAATGAAAGAAAGAAAGAAAGAAAGAAAGAAAGAAAGAAAGAAAGAAAAGTGAAGAAAAGAGAGCCATACATAAATATAGTTAGGAATGGAATACTAGATAGATAGATAGATAGATAGATAATAAAGCGTGATCTGAACAGACTGAGATAGATAGATAGATAGATAGATAGATAGATATTATACGGACTGAGATAGATAGATAGATAGATAGATAGATAGATAGATAGATAGATAGATGTGAAGAGAATGAAGAGATAGATAGATAGATAGATAGATAGATAGATAGATAGATAATGGAGCTTGATTGAGATAATTGTAAAGAGACTGAAATAGTGACGATCAGACACTATAACACACACACACACACATATATATATATCTATCTATATATATAGAAAGAGAGAGAGAGAGAAAGAGGGAATGTGTGTGTGTAAGAGAGAGAGAGATAGAGAGAGAGAGAGAGAGAATTTTAATCTCAGTCTGACGTTCCATAATTGCGGAATGTTTTCATTTGATTATTGCAACAATTTTTTAAAAAGTTACGTTCAATGTTTTCGGGAAAAAAAAAAACAAAAAACAAAAAAAAACTGCCAACGTTGTTTGCAATAATCAGCCCCAATATTAGGAGGTCACTAATTAATGGTAGCTAATTAAAACGTTGCATTTTGAGGAGGGGCACGTGGCCTAGGCGGACCAACATTTGTCAAAACCACTCTTTCTCTCTACACCCCTCCTCACCCAACCAGACATACCACACTTTGGTTTTAGTGAAATCCACGACGACGGGTGGCATGGGTGAAGTTGCAGATGTTAAGACAGTATTCTGCTTCAAGAAATAATCCTTAAGTTGAAGTCTCTCTCTCTCTCTCTTTCTCTCTCTCTCTCTCTCTCTCTCATTCTTTTTTTTCTTTTTCTTTTATCCCCTCTTCTCTTCTCCTCTGTGTTTTTCTCACGCCTCACCCTTCCTCTAACCCCTTCTCCACAGTATCAATCTCTTTCCTTTTCATGTAAAACATATAATTCTGCCTGTTCTTCAATTCCTTAGTTATTTTATTAGCATATACGTTACATCCTGACGATACCTTGTAAATAATAGACTATTCTGTTTTGATCGAAAAGAAAGTCGGAAAAGGGACATTATGGACAATGTTTGGTTTTCCCTGAGAAAACGAAACAGTTGTGGGTTATTTAACCCCATTCACCGGCCTAGACGTAGCATTCTAAAACTAGCTACAGATGTGCTTATACGTCGATCTTGATTCTTTTTATGCCCTTCTGAGTTTGAAACGAGTCCAATTGTCAACTAATACGTCTGGTAGATGTGTTAGCCACCGCTCGGGTACTTCAAGGTACCTCAGTTTCTTAGTTACTATATTAAAAACAAATTAAAAAAAAAATCATCTCTCAGTATAATTTTTCTCCTTTGCGACTCTGTTCTTTGACGGAGTCGCCTCTGAGTGCACTCTGCCCAATGAGAGATACGCAACTGAGAGATGATATATAGATATGTTACAAACTCCTCGAGCGGAATGTACACACTAAAAGCTCATTCAGTAACACTCAATCATGAGTGGCTCGCGGGGCTTTTATTTATTCGGTCAGCTGTTCTCCAGGGCTGGGCACCTCTCAGCATAATTTTTTTTTCTCAGTTGCGACTCTGTACTTTGACGAATCCGCCCCTGAGCACGCTCTGCCCAAAGACAGAGACACAACTGAGAGATGACATATAGATGTGTTACAAACCACTGCAAAGAGCGATTTACACACTATTTTAAAAAAATATCTGTGAATGAAACGTTTTTCTCAACGCAGTTGGCGGGGAAGGGGTTAATACGTAATTTGTGAATAGTAAACAAAAAAAGGAAAAGAAAAAATAATGTTGAACTGCTGTCTAATATCAACTCTCCTGTATGGCAGTAAATTCGAGACAATTTCCTTATAGATAAAGAGGGGGGATATAGAATTAATGTGTGAGCATGGAGAAAGACATAAGGAAATACGAAAAGACAATATTTATAATCTGATAACAGGTGTTAGAATGTAAGACATGATTCTGAATTCATATTGTAACAGGGAAAGATGACTTCAGGAAACTAAACACATTATTAAGGAACAGGGAAATGTCAATAGAAAAAAAATGAAAAGTGTGCTGACCTGCTACGTAACATCAGTCGAACTATAGAACAATTAATGCTGGTTAATCTCCTTAAAAACCAAGAGAAAACTGGAAGAATCAGAAATGAGGTTGTACAGAAGGATGCTGACAATGTTTGCTCAATATAAAATGGAGCATGACTGGCCGTATTTGAAAATTAAGAAGATGTTTACTATCACCAAATTCTAAATCACCCAAATCAGCACTTAGGCATCATTTATTATAGTAATATCACAGAAGATAATCATTGAAAATGGCTAACTGCTTTATCCGAAAGCGCTTGGAACCAATAAACTTCTGGGCAATTATTACATTCATTAAGTTCAGAAAAAGAACACTTGTACACATACAAGTAAAACTGAATAAAAAATAAACAAAGGAGTTTGTTATTCTTGTTCAACTATATATATATATATATATATATATATATATATATATGTGTGTGTGTGTGTGTGTGTGTGTGTGTGTGTGTGTGTGTGTGTATAGAGTTTATTATATATATATATATATATATATATATATATAAACTTTACACATACAATAAAAAAAAAAAATAAAAAATCATCCTTGTCTGTCGTCTTTAATGAAACATGCATATATATATATATATATATATATATATATATATATATATATATATATATAAAAAAGAAGAGGGGGTGCCGCAAACGTTTTTTGGTTGTAATGTGGATTTATTGAGAAAAATATTATACTTTGTTTTACATAATTTCACGACACGTGTTTCTGGTCTGGTCTCGCAACCGTCTTCAGAAAAAATGGAATTTTTACATATTATTAAAAATAATTAATTTTTCTTCATGTTCAATGTGGAATATTCTCGATATGAGACATTTCTGTTTTGTGTTGGCAATCCGAATTTTTCTTTTTTTTCTCAATAAATCCACACAAAGGTCAAAAAACGTTTCCGAAAAATTCCCTCTTTTTTTAATATACATACGAATTTTCTCTCGTTGGAACCACTACAACATATTTTTTTTATATATATATATATATATATATATATATATATATATGGCACAGTGGATGAAGGCGTTAGTTAATTCCAGTGAACGGAATCAAAGACTGTGAGTTCAATACCTGGTTAAGTCGGTGGAGAACTTGGAGTGGGGAATTAACAGGAGATAACTGATAATTGACATCCACTAAACATGGCACGTGGAAATAGAACAGTCTACCCCAGTGAGCGAAATAAAGCGTTCAGTTCGATATTCTAACCACCTGAAGAAATCCGGAGCGTACAATGGTTGAAACGTTGTAATAAATATGGCGACAAAGATGAGGACAATAGTTCGAATAATATAAATATTGTGCATAATACCTCATCTCAGAAATATAGACAGATACTGAGCCGTATTTATTGATTAGTAAATATATTTCTCTTTCGTATCCGCAACATTCTCCGTAAACATTTTTGCCATAGGAGAACTCGGCTCAGGAATTTTCGCCGTAGGATATTTCGCCGTATAGGATTTTTGCCGTAAGACAATTTCACCTCATTTTTTTTCGATATCCTTGTCGAGTGAATAAGGAATTTCTTAAAAGTTTTAGATGTAAGTCTGAATAAAAACAAATATTCATAGAAACGTTAGTTGACAGGAAATGTGATTTTCAAGAGTGTCAGTTGGGTATATATATAATTCATTAGTTATAATTCACTAATTTGCTAAAATAAAAAAAAATGTTATTAAATTTATTAAACGTTAGTGAAACAAAAAATACCCTTGGACATCATACTTCCCGTATCAAGTTTCCGGAATATTAACATTTTTACCGTAGGAAAACTCACCTCAGTAATTTTCGCCGTAGGAAACTTAGCCGTATAAGATTTTCGTCGTAAGACAATTCGCCGTAATTTTTTTTCGATACTCTTATTGTGAACGTCCCTTTTAGAGTAATGTTCAATTTAATATGCGAAATACCTTGTCATCAAGGATATATCGGTGTCCTTTTTAAAGGGTCAAACAGCAGAAAAGAAATTAAATAGTAAACATTTATTTAAAAAATAAAAAAAACCTGAAAATATATAAAATTAACAAAGAAATAATTTAAAAAGTGTGAAAATTCTAAGCAATGCTTTGTAAATAAAGTGATTTTTTTTTTTACGTAGGACTGTAATGAAGTATTTTCCGTTGCAGTCTTGCATTGATATCTATATATATTTTCTTCATTTGTACTGCATGTCCTCCATGTTACGTTAACAGAAAGTTTAACATTAAATCTGAAATATGAAATTGCGTGACGAAGGTGTTGGTGTCAATTTGAATATTTTGAGCTCTTCAATGACGTGGATGAATGATATAGGATTTTGATCCTATAACTTTGCTTATTAAAATGTTTAAATCAAAGTAACAATAGTGTGAGTCAGATATACTCGATAACAATGTACTTCGCATATTAAAAAAACGCAGCGAAATTGTCTTATGGCAAATATTCTATACGGCAAAGTTTTCAACGGCGAAAATTCTTGAGGCGAGTTTTCCTACGGCAAAAAGGTTTACGGCGAATATTTCTAGAAGCCTTTCTTCCTATGGATGATTTTTTATTATATTTATCATTGCGGCAAAAGATTATCACATATTTTCTTTAATCACTTATCACTTCTCTCTTTATATCTTATACTCTTCTTTTCCTTCAAATTATTCTTCCTTTTTTCTTTCCTCTTTACGGCGAATGTTTCTAGAAGACTTTCTCTTTATTTCTATCTATCCATCCACCCGTCTGTCTCTCTGTCGCTCTCTCTCTCTTTCTCTCTTTCTTCCTCTCTTTGCGTGAGAGTGTAAATTGTTATGTACAAGTATGTTTTCATAAAAGCCTATTATAACCTTTAATACAGTTCTTCTCCATCTCGCTCGCTTTTACTCCTCTCCTCATCCAGCTCGTCCTTGGTCTGGAAAAAGCAATTACGATTTAATTAACAGGGCATTAATTAGTCTCTTCTTTAAAATTAGAATGACGATCTTCAAACACTCCGATGTAGACGTCTATAATTGTGCATCTGCAAGCTTGTTGGTATCTTGTAAATGCAACATACAACATACAATTCAAACATCCCGTCAGACGTGCAACTCAGACATCCTTCTAGCTAAAAGCTACCGGGTGTAACAGCAAAATTTTCCAAATCGTGTAACAGCAAAATTGTCCAAATCGTGTAACAGCAAAATTGTCTAATGGTTACATGAGCCTAAACCGTGTTATCTTAGAAATGAAATGATTAAAGATATCTTACTGGAATTTTCTGAGTTTTTTTTTTTTATGACACCATTGGACTCTTCTTTGAAGAATAAGAATGTATTTAACTCTAATTTGAAATGATGATCCCTCTTCTTGTTGTGACCTCCTGATCCAGTTTTCCTCTCTACTCTTCCCTCTTATTTTAAAACTTATTCACCGTTCTCTTGATGGTTCTTGAATGGACTTTGAAGATGGAAGCCAGAGTATGAATGTTGGTACCATGACTGAAGGACTGAATGATCTTTTTCCTCGCACCATTGCTCAGTTGGTAAGATATAGTAGAGCTGACGCTAAACGATTTTGAGGTTTCTTGAATGGAAGCCCGAGTATGAAAGTTGGTACAATTGCTGAAGGATTGAATGATCTTTTTCCTCTCTCCATTGATCAGTTGGGAAGACAGAGTGGGGCTGACATAAAAAGATTTTAACCAGTTCTCTTTTTAGCTGAATAAATCAAAGGGTTTTTCTTACGACAAATGGTATTATCCTGCAAGAAGAAACACAACTTCCTTTATAATATCTGTGTATTTCCATGACTTACGGAATATATTGGATTTCTCTCTCGTTGCCTTCTGAACAGTTTCAAATTCCATAGACGGAATTCAAATTTCAAATTCCATAGTTTCCTGTGATTTTAGTTCTTAGAAATGTTTGCCTTTTTTTTATCTGCTAAACATTTACAAAAGCTAATTAGGTTGGTTACGCTCTGCTTTCCCCTATCTATCTATCTATCTATCTATCTATCTATCTATCTATCTATCTATCAATTTCATTTGATATATTTCTATCTATCTATCTATCTATCTATCTATCTATCTATCTATCTTATTTGATATATTTCTTTCTTTCTTTCTTTCTTTCTATCTATCTATCTATCTATCTATCTATCTATCCCATTTGGTATCTATCATTTGATATATTTCTCATTTGATATATTTCTTTCTTTCTTTCTATCTATCTATCTATCTATCTCATTTGATATATTTATTTCTTTGTTTCTATCTATCTATCCATCTATCTATAACATTTGATATATTTCTTTCTTTCTATCTATCTATCTATCTATCTATCTATCTATCTATCTATCTATCCCGTTTGATATATTCTTTCTTTCTTTCTTTCTTTCTTTCTTTCTATATATCTATCTCATTTGATATATTTCTTTCTTTGTTTCTATCTATCTATCTATCTATCTATCTATTTATAACATTTGATATATTTCTTTCCTTTTTTCTTTCTATCTATCTATGCATTTAGATATAAACATCGGGCGATAGATATACACGTATACAGATATACACATTTAGTTCTCTTGATAGATTTGTGAACGAATATAGTTATATTTCAACCAAGTCGAGTATTTTTTTTTAATAAGGGCGTTACGGTCATGCGTCTCCACAATTTCCTTCAAGATATCTGTGTATTTCCATGACTTATTAGAGAGTTGCCCTCTCCACAGTTGCAGATTCCATAGAAAGGGGCGATAATGGCTCTCTACAGCTTCCTTTGTTTTTAGCAATGCCTTTTATTTTTCCTAATCCCTGTTCTGCCAACCATTTACAAAAGCTAGTTTAATATATTCCCGCTTTCCCCTGACCCTGGTTTCTTCAATCTGTCATGTAAGGGTTAAATTTCCTAAGCCATTTTTTTCTCTACTCATGTTCCCAGATTCTTAATATTCGCGTCCATTTCCATTCTATTTTCTCTAAAACATCGTTGTTGATCTCATGTAGAGCTCGTGGTATTCTCAGTATCTTCTTCAAATCGCTTCTTCATCTCTAGTGAGAGGATCTCTCATTCACTGCCAGGCCCAAAAGCTAATTCAGAGTTGTCATTCTTCTAGGATTGGCTGCCAATCAACCAAGGCTAAAAGGCCATTCTACCCTACTATTTAACCCATAGCTTCTAGAAGACGAAGGGATGAATTCATATTTTTCCTAAGTGTATTTCCTAAATTAAATAATTTTAATGAAAAATAATAATTAAAGATGCTAAATTAAATAGATATTTAAGAAACTGAGATAGATAGATAGATAGATAGATAGATAGATAGATAGATAGATAGATAGATAGATATTGATGAGACTAAAATAGATAATGATGAGACTAAGATAGATAGATAGATAGATAGATAGATAGATAGATAGATAGATAGATATTGAAGAAACCAAGATAGATAGATCGATATTGATGAGACTAAAATAGATATTGATGAGACTAAGATAGATAGATAGATAGATAGATAGATAGATAGATAGATAGAAAATATTGAAAAAACTAAAATAGATAGATAGATATATAGATAGATAGATATCGATGAGACTAAGATAGATAGATATATAGATAGACAGATAATATTGAAAAAACTAAAATAGATAGATAGATAGATATCGATGAGACTAAGATAGATAGATATATAGATAGACAGATAATATTGAAGCAACTAAGATAGATAGATAGATAGATAGATAGATAGATAGATAGATAGATAGATAGATATGAATTTTTATTGATAGATGATAGATAGATAGATAGATAGATAGATAGATATCGATAGACATATAAGATAAATAGATATAAGATAGACAGATAATATTGAAGCAAATAGAAGATAGATAGATAGATAGTCATAGATAGATGATAGATAGATAGATAGATAGATAGATAGATAGATAGATTTGATAGGTCTGAATTACATTTATTAATCAGCCTAAGATAAATTGAAGATACGGAAATAAATAAATATTGATCTCACAATTAATTGGATATGATTTTAATGAACGGTGAGGAACTAACTTATCTCCATTGAACTGCAGATCGATAATCCCTATATTTTGTCTGGAAGATAGAAAGATTAACATAGGGAATTCAAACTTTTGCTTTTTTGAATTCTTAATCTGACAGAAAACATTTGGCCTGATATTTATTTTTTAATCTTTTTCTCTTTCAATTATGAACTTCAATATTGATAGATTATTTGATCGATAAACGCGAATTAGCGAAAAACAGCGGATTGGCATATGATGATCAAGGCGCCATTCGATTGATCTATAAATATTTTAAAATTTCAAATAATTAAAAATTCATTAAATTTCGTTTTTTTAAATGAAGCCATTGAAAGAAAGAAGGAAAAAAGGAAAATGGAAGCAAAGATTAGATGCGAGAATAGGTGAAGAATCGATGAGAGAAGAGAAAATGGCGAAATACTAATTGAAATGCGAAGAAAACAAAGGTGAGAATCGAGAAAGGTGAAGAAGGAACAACAATTTGCTTAGAATTTTTAAATGAAAGGAGAGAAGGAATGCAAAGAGGAGGTTGAAAAAAAACGAAAAAAAAGACGGAAAGAATTACGAAAAAAAAAATTTAAAAGAAAAAAGATTGAAAAAAAAAAAAAACACAAACAAAACAAGAATGTGTTATAATTACTCGTGTATAAGTCGACTTCATGTATAGTTCGGCTCCTGAATTTTTTGGCATGAATTTTAACCCCCGCCGGAAATAAAATTAGCTGCCATTTTGCATTAAAGGTGAGCGAAAATTCAGAACATGAACATTTGAGATAGATAGATAATAGATTTGAATAGGCTGAGATAGATAGATAGATAGATATGAACATATTTAAATTAGAAAAGAATAGTGAAAAGATTAAAGAAAAGAAAGAAAAAAATCAAAAGAAATATTTAAAAGAAAGAAAGAACGAAAAAATCTTGAATCTTTTCATATATTCGTATATAAGTCGACAAAATGTATTTAAATGAACAGCGTGAGATAGATAGATAGATAGATAGATAGATAGATAGATACAAACTAAAACTCATAAATAGATAGATAATAGATAAGATTAGATAGATATGAATATCTAAAAGATTTAGATATGAACAGAAGGATAAATAATAAAAAAGAAATTGAAAATGCAAGAAAGGAATTTTTAACATAATAAATAAAAAAATTGAATACGTATGTCGTATTTGCTATTGTGTTATTGTCGAATTTTCATGTATCTGTTGACCCTTGAATTTTTTGATGCATGAATTTTAAATCCCTCCAGAAATCATTTTTTTATTGTGTATTCAACTGGTGAGATTGAAAATGCATGATTTTTTAAAAATTTATTCCATCAAAAAATTTTACCTGTTTATTTATCGTACGACCACAATTTTTTTTTTTTTTTTCTTTTGCGTAAAAACATAAACGATAATATGTATATATATTATAGTATATAAATTAAAAGAAAATAAAATGAAAGAATGAAAGAAAAAATAGATGATGGAAGCGAAGAAGAAAGAGAAAAGAAATAAATAAAGAAAAACAATAGGAAATTGGCTATCAAAAGGAAATGTTTGAAGATTCGGAAAAAAATAATGGAAAGAAAAACGAAGGTAGAAAGAGAAAGAATTAATTTGAAGAAGAAAAAAAATTTAAATGAAAAAAAATATTCTAAAAAACAAAAAACGTAAATGACGAACACAAAGAGAGACAAAAGTATTTAAAAAGAAAAAAAGAAAAAAAAAAGAAAATGTCGTCCGAAAGATATAAAACACATCTAAAAGGGAGATGAGGAGAAAGAGATGAAGAACAAAAAACAAACGATCGTGAAAACAGCGACTCACTGGAGAGCTGGTCGGGACGATTCATCTTGGGGGGATGTCTTGACTATCAAAAA